TGATATTCTGGAAACCTTAAATAAACCATGCTGGACTCCAGGAAAGCTGCATCTTGAGCTCATCTCTGTGGCAAGCACTCAAAAAGCTGGTACCAAGATTGCAGTTTGATGGCACAGATACATAAAACGCTAAATCCTAAATGCTTTGCCTTTTCCAGATTGTATTTGGGATATCATCACTTCTGAACTTTAAGTTTTATCGGGGTAGCTAGATGGGATAAGTTTGCTCTTTCTGAGGGACCACAGGGGTTATGGGAACTCCGATGATTCCTCTTCCTGTGGTCAAAGGCATTAATGTTGATGGATAAGTAACAGCAGGCGCCCAAATATCAGACGTGGTTGCAAGCATCTAAGCAGAATTATTAAAAATCAAATCTAAACGACATAGGTCCTTGTGAGATATTTCAACCACACATGGGACCGCAGCAAATCTGGGATGTCCCCGCTCAGCCAAGTGTCCAGCTTAACTCTATTTAAAAGAGGTCGGCCAGAACTGCAAAAGCACAGTGCCTTTTTTCCCCCCGTCTTTAACATGTAAGCGCCCACTGCTCTAATCTACCATCGGACCAGTTACCTGGGGTCCGAGCCAGCAGTGCTCTGGGCTCTGGATAACATCCATCTTTGCCCTGCAGCTGGTGAGCAGTAGGACTCCCATGTCCCAAATTACTGTAATCCTGCTGTCTACAGTTCACTCAAAAAAATTCGCATACAGCTGATCACACATGTGCACACGAGGATTGAACATCCTTTTAAAAAAAAAGGAAAAAAGTGGTATTTGTGAGTGGTGCATCCTCAGGTAAAGTAACAGCCTGACACAAAAGAGGAGATAGGATGAGGACTATACCAGAAAGAAACACAGATCCTTGCTCAGCACTGCTGCCAGGACCTGTCCCTGCAGTCAGCCAAAGCAAACATAGGTCTTTACCAATAAAGCCATGCATGCACTCAGCTTGCTTTACTTGCATTTCATTTGTCCGTTACTACTAAAATGGCATGTTTCACACACTCAAATTGACAGTGCTTTTTCCCCAACTCCTCCTCTTGTTCTGTAGCTGGAAGACTCACCAGGGAGAAGCAATGCTGAGGAACACTGACTTGCATTGTCAGAGTGGGACGGTTCAATGACCCCTCTATGTCCCAGCTGATACACAGCCATAAACAGCACTCTGTCCTTAATTTGCAGAAGAGTGGGGTTGGAAATTATACAAAATTATCCAGATATTTCTACACGGGCCCAGGAGTGAGCTGCTTAATCCGGGGACATGTTAAGACTTTACACCTCATTATTGTTGTTATTATTATAACGCGTTAATAACTATGTTGGGACAAGACTGGCTTACATAACCATCCCCAGCCTCAGTGACTTGTTTTCAGAGACATGTTTATAGGGTGGCCAGTGTGAAATGGTGGTGAGGGTAAAGCCACGCATGAGCCCGAGGACAAAGCTTTCTGGATTAATCAGACAGCGTAAACACAACACGTTACTGAGACTGCGCGTGAGGAACGTGGGTATTTCCACGGTATCAATCAGAGCCCACGGAGGTGGCTAAAATACTACACATGCATCCACCTTACGGTAGGAAAAAACAAAACAAAGCTCTCAGCCGAGCGATGGGTGATTGTTCTCGCTTGCTAATTCACTCCTCCTCCCTCTCTCTGTCAGGGGCTCCGTCCCTCCTCTCCATGGACGCATTGTCCATTGTCCTCCTGAACAGGCAAACTCAACGTTTCAAGCAGCTTCTCTACGTGGTTAAGTGATTGCAATCCCCTCTACACACACCTAAAATAAATCCGAGAGGGTACTCACCTCGACGCGGAAAGCCGTGCAGCCCTTCAGAAACTCTTTTATGTTGCTCAGGCACTCGCCGTCGTTCTTCGGTTCTTGGTAAACCTGAAAAAACGGAAACGCTGGTCAGGAGTTAAACTTCCAGTTCACGCTCGCCTCTCTCACTGCGGTTGCGTGCGACTTTCATTGCCTTAAAAATCTATCTTCTTCTCCTTCTTCTTCTACGACGCGCATTCTACTGTCTCCCGTGTGTGAGCACTGACCGGGCCTGACACTCCGGGAGGCTGAGCACAAACCCCCCCTCTCAGCGGGGAAGTGGAAGAGAGTGCAGCGTCGGGTCGAGGGAAATGACGTTGACAAATAGGGATGCCCTCTTCCCCGTCTTCCCCACCCCACCAACTTCTGATGTTGCTTTAGCATGTGAGTGCACTGATTTTTATTCCTGTCCCATTTAAATACGTAAAGAAGAAGAATAAAATAAGACAAAAAATAGTGGGCGGTGTCGGTAAGCAAAAATATGATTTTATCCTGCAAAATTATGTTGAATCAGTAAAATATTCAAAACATGATCATCTTCATGATGATAAAGTTCAATCTACTAACAAAAAATAAATAGAAATAATAAAATAAATTCTATTTCAGCCTACTGATTAGTACATTTTATAGATGAAATCAAGCTTAGCAGTCCTCTAGGGGGTGAACCACGCAGTCGTTCTTGGTCAACCATATCTGTAGCATTCATGTACTACCGTTTCTTTTTATTTGATTTGCAGAGAAATATGAATGAACTTAGCACAAAAATTAGGGACATTTGTGTTTAGTTGGAAAGTTTGAAAGCTTGTTTATTTAGCTTAAATGTTGCCATAATTGTGGGGGAAATGTATTTGCGGTTTGAGCAGCAGAGTTGAGTGTGTTGTTGCCCTCGCCAGATCCCCTCTGCCAGTGCCAAACAGCTTATTCTGCTATTGGATCTTGTTTGGTGTTGTTTATTGGTCTGGATGATTGAAGTCTAATGAAAACAACACGTGTTGGCAGTTTAACAATTTATTCATTTAACAAACAGGAGCTCCAGTAGCATGTGGAAGAACTGCTGTGGAATGGCATCCCATCCTTCGACCAGCATTTGTCACAAGTCAGCCAATGTGGTTGTGTTGGTCACTCTGGCAGGAGCAGCACATCCAGGCTGATCCCACAGGGGCCATTCCATCCTCTCCACTCCCAAATTCTTGAAGTAGTGTCTGATATACATCACTCTGTGGGAGCGGGCAATGTCATCTTGGAGGATAGAGTTTGGCCTCAGACTGTGGGGATGTGGGATTGCTACTGGTTGCAGAATCTCATCTCAAGCTCTCTCCAGTGACCTGGAGGCAATTTCAAAGGAAACCTTGTTTTTCCAGTGAGGGAGATGCCCGCCTTCACAATCACACTGCATACACCAAAAGCTGTTACCCTATTGGTGCATCAATCAGCATAGCGTTCTCCATATCTTCTCCACATTTTGAGCCAATAATCCAAATGCTGAAAGCAGAATATGAACACATCGCTGAACATAACGTTCTTCTGCATCCAGGTTCCAGTGCACATGTTGCAGACATAGCAGCTCTATGAGACCAGAAATTGTCTAGATAGCGAGTCGTCGGCCATATTGCCCTGCAAACCTATGCTGTGTCCCAATTCGGGGTATGCACGCTTGAAGTACGC